GGCCACTCAGTGTATGTATAGCGACATTTCTTTCTTGAAAGTTTTTTTTTTTTATTCTCAACAACATGTATGGGTATTTCTTAATCATCTATGTGTCCTCTTGTAAAATCATGAGACATTGCTCTACATGATCATTTTTGGGCATTGGGACAGCCTGTTACAATATAGCACCCCTTAAAATGTATTCTCTTCTCCATTGTAACTGTAAGGTATGAGAGGAACATACCATATGTGCTACCACGCTAGGACCACACTAGGATCTGCTTGGCTTTTTCTGGCTTGATACATCCTGGCCTAAGACACACAATTTATGCTGCATACAGGCTACAGCTGGGAGCCCCCTTTAAAGGTTCAGCGTGACAGTTGCTTTAGTTTTGTAAATTTTTTTCTCTGCTCCCAGATTTTCCATTCTTCCAAAACTGAAATCAGCTTTCCAGCGCCAGGAATATTTGGCGCAATGTATTAAACAGATGCAGCATTTTTGCCTGAAGGTATTAGAGGGAGCAGCTTCCTCCAGAGACAAGATGCAGATAAACCGCTTGGTTTTAACGGTGTGATTATTACTCAAGCTTCATATTTGGGATTCTTAAATGTTTTTTTTACATTCCATGATCTCCCGTAATACTTTTTCATTTTTATCCAAGCGAAAAGCAATGCAAATATTTGTCCTTATTGAACCTCATGAACAGGAAAAAATAGAAGCCAAACAGCTCCTTGCTGTACAAAAATAAAACAAAAAATATAAACATTAATTTCATAATGGAATAGATGTAGGAAGGAGCCCAAACACATCCTGTAGCTGGGGGTCAGAACCCTGAGAGCCTCAAGATTGCATATTATCTGTTCTCCAAATGGCAACTGGTAGGAGATCAAGGATAAATGGATTTTAGGTTAGTTTTTCACCTACGTACATTATATTAAGTAGGGATGCACCGATACCACTTTTTTAAGACCGAGTACGAGTACCGATACTTTTGATCAAGTACTCGCAGATACCAATTACCGATACTTGTTCTTAAAGGGACAGGTCACATTGTTTCTAAAACAATACAAACTAATGCTTTGTCACTTTCTTATTATATTATGATTCATGAGATGACAAGGGAGCATGACGCCGGCTTCCCGGCCAATCAGAATGCTGGGCACTGCGTCATTACACGGCGCCCGGCTTCCTGATACAGGAAGTACTCGTGCTAGGTATCGGAGCATTTGGGCGAGTACGAGTACTCAACCAAATACTTGGTATCGGCACCGATACCGATACTAGTATCGGTATCGGTGCATCCCTAATAAGTTCTTCTCCTGAGTCCTGCTATTGTAGATGTGTATTTTAGGTGCGCTGGGCTTACCGAATGGACCAAGATAGGGTGATCCAAGTTCTGAAATTCTCCACTGACTGGTATCCCAAAAGGAGCTCTGGAAACATCTATACGGTATTGGGATAATGAGATAATTGGATACGTCTAGTAGAGTTTTGTAATATAATGTAAATGTATATTGTTAAATACTATATAAAGATAGAAGTCCAATACATTTTGGGGGCTCACAACTCCCCCTTTTCAGGACTAGAATACAGCTTTCCCAGTTCTAATGAAGGGGGAGCTGTGAGCCCCTCAAACAGGTTGGCTTTCTACCTTTATATTGTATTTATACTAAAAACCCTACTAGACTTATCCAGTTAATGTGGTGCTCCCATTCTTCTAATGATTTATATAGAGCACATTCACACCCATCCCTGCCCACAAGGAGTTTACAGTCTAATGACCCTATTTCACATGCATACAGGGCCAGTTTCGACAGGAGCCAATTTTCGCTCCAGCATGTCTTTGGAGTGTGGGAGGAAACCCATGGAAGCACTGACAGAACACACAAACATAACCACTAAACCACTGTGCTGCCCACAATACTTTATAAATCCCCACTATTGGTTAATGAAGCTGCCCGTCATAGTGACAGCCCAATAGGAAAAGTGTGGGAGGGGCTAGGTCAATTGATGTTGACATAATGGAGCACCCCATCACTCTGAAGCTGTGAGGAGACAACCCTGAGAGGGCACCAGGCCAACAGTCATCAAAGGGGACCTTACTCTTCTTAATTATATCTCTTCACATTCCTCAACCCTCCATATTACAAAACTGCAGATAGTTTCAGCTTTTTTTGTTGGGGGAGTAATACCTCTTATTTCCTTCTTCGTCACCTAGGCAATAATCACGTATGCTGGATCACCCGCAGCATCCTGGTTTATTCACATCATATCTCCCAAAAGGCTGCAGGCGGTAACTTGGAAGTATTGCAAGATCTCAGCTTGCTTAGATGACAGCTGTCATGTTTAGCACACACACACGCGCAGGATCTAGCAGTGTTTTATCAGGGGTGTAGCTGAAGTACTGCTGGATCCAGCACATGCATGTGCTAGACATTGAAGCTGTCATCTTAGTGCAGAATGGTTGCTTTGCCTGGAAAAGGGTGACTTGCATTACATGTTTTCATCTAGGGGGGGAGCTGGGTTTTTTAGCAACTAGAAAGTAATCATCTCTACAGTTAATAAAGTTAATATGTAGTTTTCTTAAAGTTTCTAAATACACGATATTGCCAAAAGTATTAGGACGCCGGCCTTTACATGCATATGAACTTTAGTGGCAACCCAGTCTTAGTCCGTAGGGTTCAATATTGAGTTGGCCCACCCTTTGCCGCTATAACAGCTTCAACTCTTCTGGGAAGGTGTCCACAAGGTTTAGGAGTGTGTCTATGGGAAAGTTGGACCATTCTTCCAGAAGCGCATTTGTGAGGTCAGGTACTGATGTTGGACGAGAAGGCCGGGCTCGCAGTCTCCGCTCTAATTCATCCCAATCGGGTTGAGGTCAGGACACTGTGCAGGCCTTTGCCCAACCCCTGAAAAACAACCCCCCCCCCCATAATCCTCCCTCCACCAAACTTTACACTTGGCACAATGCAGTCAGGCAAGTACCGTTCTCCTGGCAACCGCCAAACCCAGACACGTCCATCGGATTGCCAGACAGAGAAGCGTGATTCTTAACTCCAGAGAACGCGTCTCCTCTTCTCTAGAGTCCAGTGGCGGCGTGCTTTACACCACTACATCCAACGTTTTGCATTGCACTTGGTGATGTAAGTCTTGGATGCAGCTGCTCCGCCATGGAAACCCATTCCATGAAGCTCTCTATGCACTGTTGTTGTGCCAATCTGAAGGCCACACAAAGTTCGGAGGTCTGTAGCTATTGACTCTTCAGACAGTTGGCGACTTCTGCGCACTGTGCGCTTCAGCATGCGCTGACCCCGCTCTGTCATGTTACGTGGCCTACCACTTCCTGGCTGAGTTGCTGCTGTTCACAGTTGCTTCCACTTTGTTATAATACCACTAACAGGTGACCGTGGAATATTTAGTAGCAAATTTCTCGGGTGAACTTATTGCACAGGTGACAACCTATCACATTACCACGCTTGAATTCACTGAGCTCCTGAGAGCGACCCATTCTTTCACAAATGTTTGTAGAAACAGTCTGCATGCCAAGGTGCGTGATTTTATACAACTGTGGCCATGGAGGTGATTGGAACACCTGAATCCAATGATTTGGAGGGGCGTCCCAATACTTTTGGCAATATAGTGTATGTGAATGTCATTAGATTTATGTAAATAAACTTACCAGTGTGGGTTTAAGCTGAAGCAATAGCAATTAGGGACTTAATAATAGACCAATGTGTATTCTTCCTTGAATCTTGGTGAGCTTTGTGTATTTCTTCCAGATCTGTGCAGTAATCCAGTGTGAAACTTGGAGCTTCCTTTATTAAAGACCGCTTACTGCTGCTCTCTGTCCATGTGCAGGGTGACTGGTCTTGTCTCCTCCCCCTCCTGCAGTTTTCTGCAGACAGCCTGTAGAGGGTGGGGCCTGCTCTGCCCCTCCCACAGCTCTGCTTTCTTCACAGGTTAGATTAGAAAGGATGTTGACGGCACGGCCTGGTGTCCTGTAAGTTATTAGAAGCTGCAAACCTACAAAATAAATCCATAAAACTGAAGCATCACACACATCATATCAGTATTAACTTGTAAATACCTGAAAATGTGCACCCGCTAAAAATAATCTCTAGCTTCCATGTAAAATTAATTTTGGGTCGGCCTGCCAGGGTTAATCTCATTGTCTTTTTACAACCCAACGTTTCTATTTTCTTATTCGAAAACCACTTTAAATAAATTCATGAAGCAACGTGATCTATATTTGAAGTCAGCCTGCTTCTTTGATTATGCAGAAGATGGGAAAAGTCATGGTGATGGCTCTTCTCCACCTCCTGAAATGTTATATTATTTATGTAAAGGCTTAGGTTGTAGAGTACATCTCTTTCTAAAGCGCACGGCGGCCAGCTGTGCCACATGGCATGCCGTACAGATCTGCAGTCCTCCTGCCTCTTCTATGTGCTTTTGTGTTAAACAGGCAGCAGGTACGTCCTCAAAGCCTTTGTATGAAGCTAGCCATAGAGCCACTGTGCAATAATAGAACACCTATGCCATAAATATGCAGTGTTGTCTCAGACAACACTGGGGGATTTCCCATCACTTCCTGTTGTGTCTCTGAGAAGAACAGGATTTTTCTCTCCAGCAGTAAAAACCTGACCTGATTTCAACTCACTTCCTGTCTGACAGGTGTCAGTCAAAACAGGAAGTGATGGGAACATTTTCTCAACAGAAGAAAAACACAGCAATACAAATAATCTTTTAGGTAAAATAAAACCTAATTTAACCCTTCCCTATTTTACCGAAAAGATTATTTGTATTGCTGTCTTTTTCTTCCGTTGAGATTTTCCCTTCACTTCCTGTTTTGACTGACACCTGCCAAACAGACAGGAAGTGAGTTGAAATCTCCCAAACAGACACTGAGAGCAATAAAAAAAAAAGCGAAACCCAATCTATCCAAAATTATTATTTTTTTTCATTCACTAGCACCCCTGTACAATAAAAACTGATGTTTTTCTTTTGTGTTTTAATGTAGCTGGAGACCGAAGAAGAGAAGAAACGGTTTGAAGAAGGAAAAGGGCGTTATCTGCAAACCAAAACCAAGAGACAAATGAAGAGCCAGTCCCTGACCCAGCAATGAATGATCTACGATCCAGCCTGGGAACACACAGATAAGGCCTTAAACAAAACGCCAGGCCAAACCGATCACTAAAAATAGGGTTACGTTGATGTATTATTTAAGGTTAATTTATGCCGTCGTTTGTGCGCCAATACGGAACGTATCTATCAGTGGGAACGTATTGTGTGTGTAATGAGCACTTGTAGAAATTAGACAACACTCAGTAGATAGCAGTAGTCAGTAATAAGATAATGAGATAGTTGTGTCCTGTCTTGGGCTCTGTCATACGGGTGTCCCTGCCCAGTCCGTCCGCTATGGGATGATATGTAATGCGGAGTAAGAAATGCGTAAAGATAATGTTTGTGAATAAATACATTTCAGAGCCACATGACTGAGATCGAGGAACAGACAGAAAAATGGGAACAACTTCTTCTCTGTGGCTCTCAAGCTTCCCCTAAGTCTAGTATTCTGCGTGCACAGGACACTGTTGTTTCCCTACGTGCTTTCCCAGCAGCTTACCTACACTGTGCAGCATTCTGGTTATGACCCAACAGCGTTAGTGCTAGATAGCTGACCACCCAGCCCCAAACTTGATAGGTCATATGCTTATGCACATGCACCTTATAACTCTAATAGCTGTATGGTGGGTATTTTTGAAAAAATTATATTTATTAGGGTTCAGATTGTCATCCAAAAAGTGACATAGAATTCAGCTCACTTCCCACAGCCCACTTTGTTCATATATTTTGCTTGACCACTTTGTTCATATGTCCCCACATGAAAACAGCAAAAATACAAAGCAAAGAGCATATTTCGGATTCCACCAATTGGAATGCAGAAACTGGTTTCCAGTAGAGGTATAAAAATGAAAGTACAGTGCCATTGCAGTACAAGCAAGCTTGCCGAGAGAACTGCGGGAAATAAGACAAAGAAACACAAGACACAGAGACATAGCAAAAAGGGAACAAAGACAACAAAATAAAGGGGTACGTGGGGATAAGGGGAAAGAGCACTAGACCTCGGGGGCGTCACCCACTTCTTGAGGCATAGTGGGGATGGTTTACTACCCCTTGAGTCATGATTGGTGTTTTTGTTGCTTTACCACTGCCATGACCATGGTCTTTGGTGGCATTCAATTTTGGAACCTTGCTTCCATCATCACTTTCCATTTGGCCTTGTGTTTTGCCCTTCCACCATCACTTTCCATTTGGCCTTGTGTTTTGCCCTTCGTCCATCACTTTCCATTTGGCCTTGTTTTTTTGCCCTTCGTCCATCACTTTCCATTTGGCCTTGTGTTTTGCCCTTCCACCATCACTTTCCATTTGGCCTTGTATTTTTCCAGTCTAATGTTCTGCTTTACATCCAGGCTGCCACTCATTTCCTGGATGTCATCCATCCCCCATGTTTTTCTTCTCCCTTTTCCCTTTTTTAGCTTGCTCTCTTCCACAATCTTACATAGTTCATCTCCAGTCAAGAGGCCAACAAATTGTAATTTGCTCTGCAATATTCCTTCCAACAGACATGGCTTTTATTCTTCTACTTTTTGCAGCACCATTTCCCTTGTGACACCAGGCTCCCACTGCTTTAAAATGCTGATGTGGTTTTGTCACCCTGCTGTTTGGCTTGGGTGCCTGTAAGCCTGTTCCTGGAAGGAGGATGGAGGAGTGAACTCCAGGAACAGTCATTGAAAGTATCACACTCATGAAGGCTGTCCATCCCAGCCAGCAGCTAGAGGAAAGCAGCAAGCAGTCATGTGACCCGTAACCAGGTATTTTGTTAGCGGTCTGCTAACAAGGTATTTTTAATTGCTTACATGAAAACAAACCATTTCATATTGTGCACTGCTTTACCTGCACGTATTTGAGTGTTGATGTCTTGGGTTTAGATCTGGTTTAAGTCGCTGTGCAGCACCATAAACTGGAGGTTACTGCATGATGTACCTGGGCATGGAGAGGACTCTGCTGATGTAATTGTAAGCAGGAAGCATTAGAGGCCTCTCCATATGAAAATAGCATGACTGAGGCCTTTCCCCTGCTGAGGATACAATCAATTCAACCTCAGGAACCTGTGCCTAACCCATTTTGTCCATGGACCACTGGAGAGATGGGGTGAAAACACAACTGCTTGAGCAGTGTCCTCCATCCCCATGGTACAATACGGCTTCATACAGAAGATGATGCACCAATCACAGTTGCATTGCTTTGCGGGATTGAATGCACATTTTTTATTTTATTAATGTGGGTGGATTTATTTTTATTTACAAAAGGTGGACTGTGCCTTTAAGGTTCAGTGACTGAAGGAGTATGCTGATGACTTACATCACAAAATAGTTCCACGTGCGCAATTCTGTTCTAAATATTACATACAGAAAAAATATACGTACTTTGAAAAAAATTATAGAATAACTCCGTGTACAGCTTTGAAAGGCACGTAGATGTCCCCCTGTGTCTTTTTAATATGCTGCGTGTTTGCCATACTCCGGCTGCATCTGGCTTCTTTTTGAACTGTGTCCTATTAGCTTCAGTGCGGACTGGCTGAAAAAGTACACATTCCTGCGGCTTTGAACATCCTCCATACCAAAATACGTCTGGGGGCAACAGATGTGTGGTCGGGATTTGGGGCAACGCTAATGTGTAATGTTTATTGTGGCGCTATCAAAAGAAGAAGAACCCTGTTCGCAAAATAGACAGATTGTCACCATGCGGTCGCCACACAGCATATGTGCCCCAGAGCAACTGAACAGAAGTGTATGTTCCCCTTACTTTGCATGGTGGATGCTGGTCACTTTGTCTTCAGAGCAGCTCAGTAGTGGCAAAATCTGGGTATTCTGTTTTGCAAATTCCATTGTCAATGTCCTCCTGCTGCTGCCCCTCAAGCTTCCTATTGACCTCCGGATACAATGGGCACCCCTAAGAATGGTTGGCAGGAGGAGAGCCCAAAGAATGGTAATTTGTGGTGAGCCCCCAAGTTCACATTGATAGAGGAATAGGTCTGCCGCAGTTGGTGACTTGCTTCTGAAGAGCTGGCATGCTGGGGCATTGACTTGTATACCTTGAATCACGGACCCAAAAGAAGGATTTCTGATTGTTCCCTGACTTTGGTTTGGTTCTTGCTTGTTCTGGTTCTGTGGTTTGAAGTATTGAAGGCAAACGACCAGCATTTTTAGAAGGAAGCCAGCAATGGCACACCCCATTTTTTGTACTGCAACTTTCTCTTAAGAACTGTCTGTATTGCTGCCAGCAACCAATCAGAACCCGCATAGGAATATGACAAAGAATTGTTCTGATACTGGCTGTTATGGGGCTGTACAGACATTTCCTATGAAAGACATTTGGGGCACATGTGTCTGTACTGAGGACTACCGTTATTCCCCTGTCACAAATCAGACTCAAAGCTGCCCAGAAACTCTGAATCTTGGGATCTGATTGGTCCCTGTGATGAAATGACATTTAAATGTCTTTATTTTTCTATGGTCTGGACTGGGTCATACATCTATATAGAATTAGTTGCCCTTTCATTTTCCTGCCTGCACTGGAAATACATTAGAGTGAATATGAACGTGATGTTGTAGTCCAGATACAAATGTAATCCAGTCTAAAATCAAATGAGAACTATATATATAAATCCGCTACGTTCCTGGGGCTTGCTCCCTTCATCAGGGCTTAGAGGATAGGGGATGGGCTGTGCTGACCTGGTAGTGAATAGATATTACTTGAAATACATTATTGTAACTGGAACAAACTCGTCAGCAGCTGGTTGATAGAACCTGAACAACACAGACAGTATTTCTTTGTGACGCTTTCATACCTGAGGACCCACATTCGTTTTTGCTCTTTGTAACCTGCCAACAAGTATTATGTATATGAGAAATATCTAAGGATATAAATAGTACATGAGACAGTCCAGATTAACTGCTCACTGGTCAATTCTATGTGATGGATCTCAAATTATTGCCAACCATGGCTGTATTTAAAACTCCAGGCAAGCAGTTAAATATAGACTGCTTGCCTGAGATACATATAAGAAGGGAGCTTTACCTGGATCACCGCTTACAGTTAGGAATGCAGTGGTGTCCTCTTTCCACCCCCAGCCAGTGATTGGACAGCGACAGAGAAGCAGCAGATCGATAAGGTCATCTTTCTGCTTACTATGCTCTCTCATCCGATCAACATATTCCTTGTCATCACATCTGCATGCATCACGCCTGATTGACTAACACTCCCACCCCTCTCTCTGCCAGTCTGAGTGCTGCTGTATAAAGAACTTCAAGAGGTTGACACCAAGTCACATTCAGGTACACAAAAGTTTATTTTATGATTTAATAATAAGGTGCCATAATACGGGTGAATGCACATTGCTATCTCCCTTAGAAAATAAGAATATTGGCTTCCTGTAGCATTGTCTGGCATTAAAAGGTGAGCACTTGCTTTAGATGTCTCCCCAGTGTGAGGCCATATGTATGACAGCCTAGTTATTGCATGCCCTGCAGACAAAGCCAGCCATTGCAGCATCTAAAAGGGTCTTTTCTTAATCACTTCATTGGGTGAGATTAACCCTTTGTATATATACACAGCACATTGAAATCAGTATCTGCATGCAACAAGAGCTTGATTTCATGCCATTAAGTGAATAAAGCCCATCTCCGGGCAAACCAGAAAACTACCTTTGCAGCGTGGCTACCATCACATTTCAAGGGCAGAAAAAAGCTGTTTTATTACCTGATCCGCTGCTAGACTGGTCCCTGCAGAAGCTTCTCACCTTCACTCCAGTGGTCTAAGGACCGCTGATGTAATCACATCTAATATAGGTTATATAGACAGGAGGATGCTGAGGGACATTATACCAGCTGAAATGGAGGAGAAAGAGAAAGTTGAGCGCCAACCACGGGGGGAGTGGGGATCAGGTAAGTAAAAGTGCTTTACTCCGATCCCGTAGGCATAAATGAGCACCTAACCCTTGCAGTGCAGGGATGGACCACTGCAAGGTAGTCTTTTGGTTTGCCTGGGGATGGACTCTTAAGTTCTGCCTGTATAGCGTAGGCCTTAGGAGGGAAGCATTCTATAGATATACAGAATACAGAAACATGGTGATTTTGCTTAAAGTGAAAACTTTACAATGGAGACAAAATTAAAAAAACTGATTGCTTTATATTTATTTTAAAGGTGTCCACACACATATCCCAGTCTCTATAAACCCTCCTTTACATTTTGTAAACACTCTGTATAGTGAGGGCCACCTAAACAAATCTGCCAATTTATATCCAGTCAGGTAGGCACTTCCAGTACATACAGTAGTTGGGAAAGAGATTGTAC